CGACATCGGCAGTGCCTGTGCATTTAGCGTGGACACTGCTGTCAGTGAGGTGATCCAGTCTCTGAATTGTGCCCTCTAGTTTACCATATTGTGGACGTGTGCTTTAAATCCGGTGTAGACAGCTATAGACCAACACACTGTTAAACTGTTTATAAACAAGCCCGCGAGTGCGGACGGCGCCTGTGCAGAAATCACAATCGCCTTAAAGAAAGTGTCTGCGCATGCGCAGTACTGACAGCAGCGCCACCGCAGTTGGTGTAAACCTCCCTCCGTGTTTTTTTGTTTTTTTTTACTCCCTCAACAGCGTCGCTCTCAGGTTGCAGTAAAACAGTGCGTGAAAAATCGTCCAACAACATTCCGGAATTACGTCGAGTGAGCCGATTGGCGATTTTCACACGTATTTTTGAACCTACTTTCGCGGTTTCGTCTTTTGACCGCCAGGCGCTGTGAATATCTTTTTTGCTCGAGAATCGCTGGCGATCGAACCTGCCGCCGCAGCTTTCTTTTCTAGCCGCTAGGTGCCGTCGATTTCGCCGGAGTCGCCCACCACAAAACCTTCTTTTTCCTCATTCTGGTCGCTTCATTTCGTCACCAAGGTCCCCAGAAGAGATTCCTGCTTCTATGGACACCACTGTGTTGCTCTTGAAGTCGACGGAATCAAAATCTGTATCGGTTCGTCATCGCTGCAGTTTCAACGGCTCGGAAGTGCCGGCGCGCTAGTGTACGGCGCCTGGAAGGCCTCTTCGACGGGTGTGTTTGCCGTCTTATCCCGCCCATGCATCGAAAGTGGTGCCGAAGTGGAACCTAACTGCGTCACAGGAGCCGGTGTGCGAGGCTATGTGGAGTGTAAGTTCGTCTGCTTCTTTTGCAGGGGTTCTGGTGACGTCAGAAAGACGCCGAGCTCTGATTGGCTCTGAATGAAGAATAGTGGGTAGACTTTAAGACAGCTTGCTTTGAGCTCTACCCCCTATCCTTCAGTCAGAGCCAATCGGAGCTCGGCGTCTTTCTGACGTCACCAGAACCCCTGCAAAAGAAGCAGACGAATTTCTCTCCGCATAGTGTGGCTGGATTTCATAGCGCTTCTATCTGCTCGATCGGCGTCGCTTGATTTATGGGCCGTGTTTGTAATGCGTGCTGCGACGAGTTGACCAACGCGTTGATCGTCCGCAAGCGTTTTCCCCTTTCCTCCGGCTTTCTTCCTCGCCACGCGAAAGCGCAGCGCACGCGCACCGGCGACCAATTTGCGCAGGAGGTGTCCCCCATAGCATTTGAAACTCTCTCGGCGGTTTGAGTTGGTCTGTCGCCTAAATCCAGACGGCACTCATTACGAGTAATCGAATTATTTGTAATCAGTTACTTTTTAGAGTACTTTTGTAATAGTTTTATTACACTTATTAGGAAGTAGTCACAAGAGTAATCTGATTACTTTTGGAAGTACTAAATTTACTTGTAACAGTTACTTTTTTTTACCTCTCGTTTTTAATGGCGCCCTTTGTTCGTACAAGTTGCCCCACCCCGAAGGAATCACCGAACCAAATCTCCGACACGAGGTTGGTTTACCAAAATTGCTGAATTAAGCAGATAAGTACAGCTCATAATTCGGCGATTCTAATCCAATAATGAACTGCACCAAAGAGCGGTTTTGAAACCGACAAAAAAAACTCCGTCGTTTCGAAATTTTGAAGTAAGCGGAGAAATAGCGGTTACTTCTTTTTAACTAACGGCCAATTTCTTTTCGTCTCTAGTTATCGAGTAATCTAATGAATACTTCTTAAGCCATAGTAATTGTAATCGGTTACTTTTTTGTTTTGTTTTCTGAGTAACCTGTACGAGACTGCCTAAATATAGGCTCACTATATAACGTGCTCGGATGTCGCGATCCTGGCGGCTGGTTGTGCGAAATGCTGGCGAGAGAGACGAGTGGACGTGAGGGTCGCTGTCGTCGCGCGGCCTCCGTGCATCTGGCGTCCGCTCTAATTTCCATCGACTGTCTGGCATGCAGAGCGACCGGAACGGGCGTCTGCCGCACCCACCCTATACTGCTGTGCCAGGATTGCGACCGGCAACAACAGTGTGCCACATTTATGACGTCATCAGAGGGAAATGGACGGACCACTTTTGAGGGCGCGGGAAACACACCAGTTGGAGACGCGCTACAAGGCAACGTGCTCACAGTAACGGATAGTCTAGTTTCAAACAACGATATCTTAAGCATCCCGTGTATAGTACATGAGCCCGCTGCATTTTGTAGCCTCTTGATTGCGCATGTACGCATGCGCGGTGAGAACGTAGTGAGCAGTAGTAAGTTTTGCAATCATCCAGAGTCAGGCTGGGCTCCACGTGACAGCATCATCCCTTGATTCGCCGATGTATAGAGTACGAACGGGGGTTATACTCTATTACTAGAAATCACCGCAAAGATGGCTAAGGATTGCAGCTAACTTCAGACACGCGAATGGATTGTGCAGAGAATTGTTGGTGTCTACAAATGCGCTTTGTAGCCGCAAAATGAAGTATACAGCCGCCGACAGTTCCACGTTTTAGCTCGTTCGCATCCACCTCGTCTACTGGGGCGAGTATAAATAGAAGCCGAGACCGCGCGATACATCCAGGGCTGCTTCGGGGCACGGAGCTCAGGCCGGTGAACAAAACAACCCGTGGACTTTGTACGGATCGCAATTTTCAGGAAAGTTGTGAGTGCCGCAATTTGGGCCATGTATATAATGAACGCAACAGCAATAGTATGCGATAACGAGTGAGCTTTTTCCCACAGGTCATAACACTTCTAATTGGACGTGTCACCTATGAAGTCCGGCTATGTGGAGTCAGCACACCATTTAGCTGGGAATAGATTGTCCAGATATATAACGCCCTCTTGAAACAACAACAACGAGTAACCAGTTTTTACACATGGGTCTCCGATATATGCAGAAAATGACTCCAACTCCGTAGCCTGGCGAATCTGCACCTTAAACTACCAAATATATCAAATGACACACAGCGCATTATATATATATATATATATATATATATATATATATATATATATACACACCAAAAAAGCATTCATGCGTTGCTGGGAGCACCTATGCAGAGTGATATCGGTGCCGCCAACGACAATCCAAAATACAAAAGTAGCTCGTGCATATATTCCGCGAATTAATAACACGCATCAAACTAAAGGAAGCAAAGAGTTAACAAGTCAAGCAAAAAGTGACGGCGTCGAGCCTCAGATAAGATAAGTGCGGAGTCCTGAACGTCTACATTTTGATATGCACCACAGATACATTGGCCTCGCGCTATTCTCGAGCCAAGAGAAGTTATCGCCAAGGGGGCGGCCGAAGCCACAAGCGCGAGTAGGAATACGGTAGTACCGCGTGCCAAAAATGATCGTAAAAAGCGAAGTTTTATGAAAGAGTTGGACAACAATCAAAATCATGCGTTTCTTCCAATATTATGCTGAAACCGTAGACTGTTGACCAATCCATGGCTACATAAAAGGATGTGTCCGACCTTGTTCGGAACGCTCCGAAACGCCAGCATTGAGTTAATGCAGAGGACAAATCGAAGGAAAATTCATTATTGCGTTCTCATGCACGTCGAGAGAAAAGTTCACTGTGTTTGGGAACGCATTCATTAAATTTGGTCACCAGAACTATAGACGCTTTGCACACGCTCCAGATTCCAGCCGCCATAGCTGACCTTCTCTCGTCTTACCCAAACGCCGAGTCATTGAAGCGGGCGTTGACGAGCTTCCACAAAGGCCAATGCTATTGCACAAGGACAGAGTAGAATCTAAAAGGGCAATCACCTGCCCTCCTGTGGTCATGATGAAATGAGATAAACGTAATGAGATGAAACGCAACCTGAACGTCGGTTATAGCAGTGCCCATGCACAGCTGCTGCAAGGCGTCTTGCCGTAGTTATTTCTGTAGCGTCCGTGTGGGAAAACGTGGAAGCAATGCACAATCGTCCAGAAACAAGGAATGGACGAACAAGCCATCGGACACGTGTAACTCTTATGAATGCTTCTCATTATCAACTTCTTTTTTTCTCGAAGAATGGTGGATCTTCTTTGACACATTTGTGGGAATAGACGAACCGACCTATTCTACCATAGCTTGTGTTCTGCACGAAACTGAGATATCAATGCACACTCATTAGAGCGATGAAAGACGGAAAGAAGGCGAAGCAAAGTTTACAGATAATTTTTTAAGTGAAACGGTGGCATCCCACATCCGGGATTTTGTACTTGTAGAAGGCAATAGAAGCCGATCGAACCGAGGAGATTTCTTGCAACATATGAATAAAAAATACAATAACTAATCGCAACGTTTTTTACCATCAATAGTAATGCGTATCACGGCGTAAATAGAAAGAAACACATGCTTCAAACGACAAATAAAAAAAAAAAGACCAAATAGCCGAATACACTATTTATTACTATTTAATGTACTTATTCATACAATAGGCAACGTACGCTATAACAGTTTTAATCAAACACGTTACATATTTTCACTCGGCATTCACTGACCAATAACCCTGCAAACCTGTTCTTTACGGAATAAAAAAAAGTTCATCCAGGACTTTCTGATGTTACTCTTATGAGGCCATGAGCTGCCTCGTGAAACTAGAAGCGAAGAAGATAGATCGGAAAAGCAGGATTCGGGCAGACAGAAGTCGGAAAAATGTGACACACCCCCTGCAAAGAGCGACGGCCCGCAGAAGCTACGCCCACGGTGTTTGGAGAAGTTACACGGCGGCGAGGCAGGGCTGCACGCCCGAAGGACTAGAAGCAATGCGAAGAGAACGCCACCTGTAACCCAGTCCATCCTCCCTCTGGGCAGCGGGGCAGTGCACGAGCATGCCCGTCCAGCGGGAGGGAGGGCGACAGGAAAAGACCATCGGACACTCACGGCGGACTCTCGAGGTAGGGCGTGAGGCAGAGGTGCGCGCCCCGGAGAGCGGCCCGCGGCCCGCACCCGGGTCGGCGCCGGGCCCTGGCGGCAGCGTCGGCGTCGGGAGCGACTCACCGGGGCCGCGGGGGAGAACTTGGGCTCGGGACGCGCGAAGTTTCCGGGCGAGGGGGCCGTGGCCTGGCGGCACGCGCTCGGCTGACGTCACACGATCCGCGTCCCGCGATTGGCGCAAAGTGCAGCGGCGCGCGGGCTCATAAATATGTGGCCGAAGTCGGCGGGGGCCGAGCTTGGCGAGCGAGTGTGCCGCGAGCGCGCCGTGAGAGGAGTCTCGAGAGCCCGAGACCCCGCGTCGAGAAGTGTGGCCCTGTACGCGGGTGAAGCAGCAGCGACGGGCGACGCCGCGGTGGCAGCGTGGCTCGGCGGCGCGCCCCCGGACCCGGCCTGCCTGTACTTCCAGGGCGGAGCAGCGGCCACGCCGTCGCCGTCCGGTTCGTCGTCTCTGAGCTCGTCTCTCGATGAAGACGCCATGGCTGCGGACGAGTACAGCTTCGACCTGGAGAACCTCGAGGAGGTGGTCAAGCAGGAGATGGGCGTCAAGTACGTCTCGCTGCAGCCCGAGCTGCATCAGCTGGAGCAGCTGCGCCAGCGCGGCATGGTGGCCAGCACGCCGGGCACCCCACCGGACACGCCGCCGGGCTCGACGGCCTGTCCGGAGTCGCCCGAGTTCGCGGCCTGCATGCCCGACGACAGCATGATGTGGCTCTCGCAGCAGCCGCCGCCGCCGCCGCCGCACGCGGGCCTGCGGTTCGGCCACCAGGAGCCGCTGGACCTGCGGCCGCAAGGCGACCTCGAGTGGCTGCAGCTGCGCCGAGACCTGGAGGGCGCCCCGGCGGGGCCCCGGCCCCCGATGGCCGCACTGGCGCCCCAGCAGCAGCTCCCCATGCGGGACATCTTGGACGACGAACAGCTGATCTCGCTGTCTGTGCGCGAACTCAACAAGCGACTCCACGGGTTCCCCCGCGAAGAAGTGGTTCGCCTCAAGCAGAAGCGTCGGACGCTCAAGAACCGCGGCTACGCGCAGAACTGTCGGACCAAGCGCCTGGCGCAGAGGCACGAGCTGGAAAGCAGGAACCGCATCCTTCAGGCCGAGGCCAACCGTTTGCGCCAGGAGCTGGACCGTGCCTGCCAGGAGCGGGACTTCTACAAGCAGCAGCTCGGTGCCGCCGCCCACGGCCGGGCCCGGCCGCAACAGCTGCCGCCGCACGCCATGGGGCCCGGCTCGCCGGACTTCCTCATGTGACTCGGGCCGACCCGCCGGCTGCCGGACCAGCCCGCGGCCAAGTGGGGCCACTGAGCCCCCTCTTCTGGACTGTACGAAAGGCGGTGCTCGCACCGCTGACGACGGCATGCGTCGCCTGGCCTGATGCCCCATCCGACGTTGCCCTAAGGACTGTGCGAAAGGCGGCTCCGTCCGCTGACGAATCTCCCCCCTCCCTCTTTTGTTTTCGCGTCCCTCCGTGTGGCCCTGCGCTGCCCCGCACTCTCCGCCGCTCAAAGTTCCAGGAGACGCCAATACACACACCCAAACCTCTGTCGCGTTGTAGCCGCTCACGCCGGAGGCCCTCCACCGGACGCAGCCCAGGGACGCCCTTACAAGGCTTCCGAGCTCGTTGTGAGACAAAGGTACGGAAGCTCGCTAAGCCCGTCCGCGGTGCTCTCGACAGCGCCCCGGGCAAGCCTCAGGCAGGAGACACCGCGGCGTCAAGGTGCACGCCTGGCCGCCACGCCGTCTCGTGCCTTCGGCTTGCCACCCAGACGTCAGATCCGCGGCTCGCTGCCAAAGTCCTGGCTGGCCCCTTATCTCCCACGCTGTACATACGAGGGGACCTTGACGCACTATCCACACGCGCAATCTTCGAATAAGGGGAAAGTTGGATCCTCCGTTCCTGGACTCCACGTGTTCCAGTTGCGCCCCTGTCTGTCCAAGGCGTCTTCGCTGGCGAGGTTACCCTGGCCAATGCGTCGGTTTCACGTAGAAGGCAGGATTCTCGAGCGTAAATTATGTCACGCTTTCTGGTCGTTCACAGTTCCTATGGCGAAGTCCTCTTCTCGAGGGAAGTTGGGTCCGTTGCGTTTTGAGCTCTGTCTACTCCGAGTTAACAAAGCGCAGTGCTTGGAGGTCTTGTATTTGATGCACAAAATCAGACCAGCGGTATAAACACCTTTAGAAATATTAAATAACGCTTTACAGACTACAGAAACCACCTTCGAAATTCTTCTGACAGGCCTCAGAATACTATAATTTGTTGTCAATGAGTTTGTGAAGAAGTCGGGAATAATACAAATCCACTTGAAAGTGTCTCCATTTAAAACTAGATTCCTTAAATGCCAATATTCGGAAAACATTCCTTCGGTATAATTCCGCGAAACTTGTCACATTGTTGGCCCCACGATGCAACAAGTACAGGTTTCTTTCGCACCAACTTTTGCGTTATGTATACCAGCAAACCAGAACGAAATCGTGGACCTGAAGCTCCGCAACGATAAGGCAACACAGAAAAGGCTAATTCGTCACCCGCAGAGAAAAGACCACACATTTCGCGTTTAGCAGTCGCACTGACAGAGGTGTCATCGTTGCTTTTGTCGCATTTATCTGTGTATATACCTTCGTTTTGGAACCGAATGTGTCCGTGTGAAGGGCAGCAGCACCCTTCAAGTCATCCGGTAGCGATTGTAAAATATGTAGCTTGCGCGTGGCATCCGAAAATTGCACAGGCGTTCTTACCAAACTGGCTGAGCTGGTTCCGGGTGTGGCGGGGACAGATTATGTAGCACTCCAACATCTGAGCACTTATATAGTCCTAACGTTGCTATAGACTTTCCAGGGCCTACATGTGACCTTATATAGTCGTTCACGTAAATCGAAGGCAGTTTGTAGCCCCGTATGTGCGCACTGCGACGTTCCTTGTACCCACATTTGACTACAAGTTTGCATGTGTCGCGGTTGTGCTAGGTTTCTGCATTGTTTGTTTTTGTACGCTGGCCAGGGCATGTAATTTGCGTTAAGGTTACTTCCTCTGCGGCGGCATGCTTTGTGTATTATTGTGTACCAACACCGTGAAGGAAATGGGTCAATGGCAAAGTTTAAAAAAAAAAAAAAAAAAAGAGAGAGCCCACGCTGTGCATATTGATTTGTATGTATACAAAGCACGAGCAAGAGATCATTCTTGAATTTGAGCGGATGCACAGGTGTGCTTCATTCATACGAATACTTCTTCGTTTCACTTTATGTCCGCTCGCAATCAGAGCTAGGAAACCTGTCAAACCTGCGGATCAGTTATATGCATGTGATTATTTTGGGTTGCTGAAGTAACCAAGCGTGACTAATCGCTACGACAGCATAGGCTTCGTCAGCGTGTACGTGTACTTGCATACTGCCGTAAGCTTTCGGCTGTGATCAGACTTCAGGTGAAACGGAGCACTGTTCGTGAACATTTAAGTGAACGTGTGATCTTTTACAACGTTTTCTAAAATTATGGTTGTCTCTCATTCGCATTCTTAATCAGCGTCACGTCCCTTGCGATGAGTCTACTAGTCTTCATAGGTACAGCTTCGTGTCGCGCGTCACTGAAACGGTGCGTTTGTTTTTAGCCAAAGTACTTTTTTGAGTTGAATTCTTTTTATGATATATTTACAGATAATTAATTTGACTCGCCGGTATACGCGCGAAGGATATACTGGAATCAATAGCGATCTCAATTAATAATCTGCAATATTTATAGGCGGAAATAGAAACAAATATGAGCTATTGTTTGTCAACCGCCTTTTTCAATTTGCTGTGTTGAGACGAGGGTCGCGTCATTAGAGATTTAGCTGCCTCAAAGGGCCTGCAATATGAGCATCCAGTCAGATATGAAACTCGCGCGTTCATGTCCCTTCGACAAAGATAGACGCAGGTGGGCATTGAGCGACCGCACGCAGTTACTCTATTCGTTCGCAACGTGTCGTTACGGGACACGAGTGATGCGGTTTTCTACTGTGATACGAGAAGAGGGTATATGAATATGTGTTTGCACAAGGTCGCACCCTATGTTTTCATTGCAACTTGTGTTTGGTGTACCAGATTATGTGACTATTACACACGCGCGTGACCACGCGCGCGAGCCACACTACCGCACACCCACACACAAACACACACACATAAACAGACACGCACACACAAGCTATATCAACATAAATCACACATTATCACATGTACACACAATATACTATATATTATAAATATATATAAATATATATATTGATCCTTTCCTGCTCTCAAGGGGTACGCAATAACCTCGCTTAAAACATACCTGTACATTTTTTTTGGCTTGCTTCGACCCCTGTACATATTCGCTTGCTTTTACCTGTCATTCTGAAGGAGTTGAGCGTATTTCGTATTCTTGACAATTTCAAATGACATCTCCCCCGCGTGTATAAGAGTATGACGTTACCTTAAGGGGCATTCCCGAAAGGGACGCTGTCGCAATGTAAGATAAAATAAAGGCAATAAACGCATACACGAGTGCAATCAAAAGCCATACTTGGTTGGTCTCTTGTTTATACTTGTGAATAGTTAAGGTACAGTGCGCGACTCAGTTAGCCAGAACAAAGGTTCGCCGGTTATTCCTGTCTCTTTTCCACAGCTTTATCAAACAGAAGTTGGAAGTGGTTTCTCAACTTAGAGAGCAGGAATTGGGCGTTTGATACAAACCTGCATGAGTAACAACAGTCGAAAACTCGTCGATGCCTCGCTCGCGTAACTGTGTCGCCCAGTGGGCATTCGTTCATGAAATTTTAACTCTTCGCGTTCTTCTAGTTGGCATTCTACTTTTCGTTCGTCACTGTGAACGTTTATAGAGCTATTGTTGCTTAGATTCAAGCTCAGAATTATTGTAACTGACGGAAAACTGAAATGGCATAACTTTACATTGATAGTCAAAAAGGAGCCAGTTATGACAGCTTTATATCCAACCTAGGTGCTTTCTCATGATCACTTGTCTGTAACTGAAATGACTTGAAAGAAACAAATGATTTATACGGGTTGGAAAGCTTGATGCCGGTTTAAAAGAGCATGCATCAATCTCCGACAACTCGGCCAGTAATTCACACACACACACACACAAGACGTTTAGGAAAAGAAAAAAAAAAAGACCCTAGAAAGAAGAGCACATGAATTCACAAGACCCCGAGTGATGACTATCTCTGATATCTTTCCAGTGCTATAGTCAATATAAGATCATCCGGCAGTGGGCATCGAAGGCAGAGTTTCAGCATATCTGGATGAAGCTGTATATTCTTGTTGTAGTACAACTTCACAGGCATGCACGGTCGCGGGGTGGATGAATTCATGGCGTATACGAGCTCCAAGATATTAGGACGCGTACGAGCTGTAGTTATCGCTCTCTCAAAGGCCGTGAATTTTAACGTCTTCACGTTGAAATGAAAATGCTTATAAATATTTGTCTCCAAAAAAGCTATAAACGTTGCCATAAACTTGAACACCAAAGCAGTCTTTAATTTACAGACGTTTCCGAATGAGTTTTTCCTTCTTCAAGTCTCTTCCCGAAACATCTGTCAAACATTGTCTCTGTTGTTCAAATTGATCTCACCATCTTCACGTTGTATAGATTACTGTAACCCGCGCAACTGCTGTGACCACGTAATCACAGCACATGCACCGTATTTCCCAAAAGTAAATGTTTACGTAAGTAAAGAATTTGTCTACTCACTTTATTTTTTAATTATAAATACATGGTTAACAAAATGACACTTTGTCTGTTGGCGAGCTGAGAGGTTTTTCCACTTGGGTATTTTTCCTCGACTCAAAAGTTTTTTTTTTTTACCTTTTTACAGTCTTGAGTGTTACGGAATATAATTGAATACATAGTGGCAGCAAAGGTAACATTGATTTGTCGCCTTTGGGCACTCGTAAAATCGAAACTGGGAAGGGAACACCGTTTCGTATCTCAAGTGCCCACGGAAGCGGAAATACCTTCTCAGTAACTATTTTCGATATCGAACAGGGGCCGCACACTCAAACTCGCCAGAAATATGTAAACAATGTATGACAACAGATATACCATCAGCTTGTCGTAACTTTCTACTTCTCTCACCTGTGCTGTTTTTGTCAGTCTAGTGTACCAAGGTAGTTCGCAGAGTATCACAACACAAACTCCCTAACACCCCAAAAGCTCGTTGAAATGAGCCAAGATTGGCTGTGCCTAAAAATTGTTAGAAGCTTCGTAGGCACCATTTTGCAGACGAGCAGTCGTTCTACATCATTGCATAATTGTTTCTAAAGGCTCGATGCTAACAAAAAATTACTATGGTTCATTTGATACAATATTTGTTTAACTATTTTTCATATAACAACACCATGAAAAAAAAAAAAAAAAAAAAACACATCGAAGTACGGATGTGGCAGTTACTGGGGCAATTATCGATAGCGTTAGTAGTTTAATTCGTTGTTGAGCCGCGGAAGCTGATTCAACGTGGTATCCTGTAAACTACGAATAAAATTTATGTAGCCGATCTGCAGAATCTTTCCAATTTACTTCTGATAATCTTACTCGCTCAGTAATAAAAGAGCACCGAGAATTGGTTCAGTACTTTTTCTGAACGTTAGTCGTCGAGACATACAC